AAAGGGTGAAGGCTGTCCGATGAAGCGCTGTGCTACCAGGCGTACTCGTTGTCCGGAGACGGTAGCGCTCTGCGTTGGCAGCGAGGGTGGGATTCGGGGTGTGGGGCGGAACGATGTCTTCTTCGACGATCCCTAGGTTCGGCCATCGCCCTTAGCTCCGACAAGGGGCTGTGTCTCCCTGTGGAATACCAGGGAGAAGGGCGATTCCAACTCCTCCTACAACAGACATCCTACAACAGACAATCTACAAGAGTCAAGTAACGAATGCAGTGTGAACACGACGAAAGGAGAGAGAGTCTAGTATGGGACAGCGGGCACATCCAACAGCGGCACCTCTGGAGGCAGTGGGTGGGCAGGTGGTGTGGTGGGACTGGTGTTGGGAGGAGCATGTGAGAACCACTGTTGACTATCTCAACTGGGAGCGTGAAGACCTGAAGCTCGACAGGCGGCGGCGCCACCAATGGGAGTGGGAGTTCCTCTGGTGGTTGTGGGAGCGTCTCCATTGGAATCAAGGGCGCTGAGCATTAACCAAGCCACTCTCTGGCACAAAATTTTTAGAGTGCATTAACCTAGCCATATATTTTTGCTAAACACTCCTTATGAGTGGCTTACTTGATGACTCTGCATTGGGTCGTAAGGTTGGACTCAGGCAACCCTCCATCCTATTCCCATATCTAAGCCCTCGTATAACATAGTTATTTCCAAAAATTGCTCATAACGTTTATCTCACCTAATCTAGAGGTTATTTCAAGGACTGCGGGTTCTCGGCTTTAGTTCTGGTTGGTAAATATGGAAGGTTGGGGGTTGTTCATAGAAGGCAATGGAACTATTGGAGGTGGTGGGAGACCTAATAGTTGTGGGAAGGTTGTTGACCTACTAGGGCACGACTGAATAACATTTAGCTGTCAACAGAGCAAACTTGGGTTGTAACCATTGTGATTTAGGGTGCCTGGAAGATGGCCGTTCCTCCAAGGGTGCAAGGTGGGAAACCTCGTCACGACAACCCAGGCTCCCCATGTCTACTAGCTGCTCTGTCGGGCCAGTCCTGGTGCTGTCTTCCTTCGGTGGAAATTACTTGATCTGCTCGTTGGGCGAATCCTTTTCTGGAACTTCCAGATTCCTCTCTAGTTCACAATCTGTTATTTGGCTTTGTTCATTAGGGTTTAGTCATACCAAGACTATTATAATTTCAAATGCCAGTTTGCCTTTTTTTGGCCACCTGCACAGGCTTGCTACAGATTTTTTGAAATGGTTGACATTTTTCAGGTTTACTGAATGCCAAGCCATTTATGTTGATGGAGTGCAAGTCTGGGTCTGTCGTTCTTACACATTGCTGCAAGGCAGGGTTTCTGCAATATAATATTTCCAGGTCTTCCATTTTCTAGGCGTTCTCTTTTTCTGGTTCGGGGTGCACTCATAGGGTATGCCACTGTTTGACGTCTCATCTGTTTAAACTCAGGACCCTCTTCCGCATAATTTTGTATAAGCATTTGCACGCATCGTCGTCCGACCAGAAGTTGCTGGCTTTTATTTTTGCGCACTGCAGGTCCAACAACGTGTTGTGGCTGTTCCAACGTAAATTGGCTGTTTTATTAGGTCCAAACAGCAGAGAGAAGTCATTCCTATCCATCTGCTGGTCGCAACTTTCAAATCTCATGGCTGCTTTCGCCCCAGGTGCATAGTGTCTAGGGATGAAGGCTCCCATTTGGTTTGTGAAGGTCTTGTCCCTTTCCCTAACATCCTCGATGTGGGCCAGAAAGTCCCAACCCTGCAATGTCGTGCCCCCATGCTCTCCCACCGAGGAGAGACCAATTTCCCATTTCCCGTTTGTCTTCCTTATTGGGATCGCCAACACTCCTTCCGTATTGGAGAGAGGCAGCTCAAAGAGGCCCCGTTCAATGAGTTGTCGCAACTTGAGTCGTCGCTAGGTCATCCCCTCCTCAGCAGTTTCCACTCCTCCTCCTTTCTCTAGTTGTGTGTGCTGGATATCCGATGGCAGGGGAGTATGCTGCTCCCGTTCCTGGCTTGATGGCTGCGGGCTAGGGGGGTCAGGGGCGGGGGGAGGGCGGAAGCGGCCCCATGCGATAGCCAAGATCCGTTGGAATACTTCTGCCCATGTCAAATGAGTTGGGGGGTCGGTTGCAAGCGCAGATCTAAGTGTCGGGCTATTATCCAATAAAGTAACCAGCTCGACGTAAGACTTGTCCCAGTACTCCTCTCCCCCCTGCGGAAAGTCGGACCTTAAGTGTGTAATTATCAATTTTGTGACCACCTGGATCTTTTGGTCTAGGCTCATCTCTTGTGGGTGTGTGTCCGGGTCTTTCGAACTGTCTTCCATTTCCACATCGGGGGGGGGGGGAGTCATATCCACGTCCATCGGTTGGGCCCCAAAAGCATCTGAACAGAAGTCCGGGGTCAGGGTTTGCGCGTGTTACGCTTACTATGAACCCGGCTTTTGTGTTTGGTGTGGTTGCTCTGTTGGCTGTGATTGCTGCTTCTGTTGCGCCTGCTCAGGCTGTTGTGTCCGCTGGTTTTGTTGTGTCTGATGTGCTTGCTGCATTAGTTATGTTTGTTGCACCTGCGGTGTCTGCTGCATTTGTTGTTGCGCTTGCTGTGTGTGCCTTGCCTGTGCCTGTTGTTTCATCCGCACCTGCTGTGTCTGCGCCTGCTGGATCTGCGTGTGCTGCGGGTGGGATGTCTGGTTGGTCTGTTGTTCTTGTGATACGTGTTGAACCGACAGTGTTGGGCATGGCAGCTTCTCTTGTGTCTCTGTGTGCCCCTTACTAGGTTCCTCCCCTTTCCCTCTCGTCCCCTCCCTTCTGCTTCCCCTCCCCGGGGTTCCCTCCAAGACAGGGCCGGCAACGGTTCCGGAAACTTCCTTATGTCCCCGCTCCACTTGGCTTTCAAGTTCCCCACCGGCCCCCTCTTCCCCCATGTTCTTCCCAGGTTCGCTCGTCCCGACCTCTAAAAGGGCGAATCTGTTGCCTTTGTTACTTCCCCCTCTTTTTTATTCTTTTGTTGTTATTCTCGTATTCTCATTCTTTTTCTTCCCAACCACTTCCCATGATTCCCCTTTCCCAGCCCCGGGGGGAGGGAGGCGAGCTGGTTGTTGCAGATGTGATTCCAGGGTTTTTGGAGGGACCCATGGCACCGACGGTTTAGTATCCTGTTGAGGTTCGTCTTGTCCTTCCCACGACCATTCGAGTACCTCTCCCTTCTTCTCTCCCGGTGTGTTTATGTAGGCCCACCCCTCGTGACCTGTATCACCGTTCGCCACCGTGATTCTGTGAAGGGGTCCTTCCTAAGGCGCCCTGTGGGCTTCGCTGTATGGGAGGGATGGTGGGCGCAGGCTGTGTCTATATACGGGTGTCCATAAGCCTAGCATTTGAAACACCAGGGCCGGTGCTTATTGGCAGTATGTATTCGGTACATTTTTCCGCCTACACAATATACGATAATGTCATCAATTGTGAATATGTGCCCCTCGACCAGACTAATGTCTATCATAACGTAGTCATGTCTCTGTGCCACGCGGGGCGGTAATGCTTACTCTTCGTACAGATACGGGCCGTCCGTACGGAACATACGGCCGTACGTACGGCCCCCCCAGCGGCCGTACGGGCCGTACGTACGGCCGTACGAGGCGTTTCG